GGTGGTGACGCGTCAATAAAGAAGGTAAAGCTTCAGTCCCTGCGAAAGCAATATGAGAATCTCAACATGAAGAACATTGAGAAAGTTTCAGAGTACATCTTCAGAATGACTCTGATCACTAATGAGATGAAAGCTTGTGGAGAAACACTTTCTGAACAGGTAATCATATAAATGATTCTGAGGTCACTTACTCCTCAGTTTGATTACATTGTTGTTTCTATTGAACATTCTAAAAATCTAGAAACCATGAGAATAGAAGAGTTGCAAAGCAGTCTAGAAGCGCGGGAGTTGCGTCTTACTGAAAGAACTTCTGAGAGGGAAGTGGAGCAAGCTCTGAAGGCTTCTTTTGTCAAGAAGGACCAGAAGCAGAATAGACGTGGTGATAAATTCCAGAAGTCAGAAACCTCAACTTTTGATGAAAAGAAATATCAGAAGGGAAAGGAAAGGTATGACAAGAAGAAGGTTCAATGTTACTGTTGTAAACAGTTTGGCCATTTTTCCAGAGATTGTAGAAACAGAGGAAGGAAATCAGAAGAAGAAAATATAGCCAGAGGAGATTCCGATGATGAACCTGTGCTACTGATGGCTTCTGATTCTGATGGAAATTGTTCAGAAGATTGGTGGTATATGGACACTGGCTGTTCAAACCATTTAACTGGGAACAAACAATGGATGATAGACTTTGACTCTAGAAGGAGAACAAAGATCAGATGTGCTGATGATAAATATATTAATGCAGAAGGTATGGGAAATGTTAGAGTCAGAGTGAAGAATGAAAAAAAACATTCTGACCAAAGATGTTTGGTATGTTCCTGGAATTAAAATCAATCTGATGAGTGTGGGTCAGCTCATTGAGAAAGGTTTCTCAGTGGTTATGAAGGACAACCTCTTGACGTTGTATGATTCTAATCATAAGCTAATTATGAAGTCTGAGCAGGGAAGCAACATAACATTCAAGGTGAATGTAGAAACAAATGAAGCAGAGTGTCTTAGTGCAGAAGGCGCTGAAGGTGACAGTAAGCCGTGGCACAAGAGGTTGGGGCACTTGAACTATAGAAGCTTAGGGCATCTAAGTTCTAAGAAGCTCGTACATGGAATTTAGAAGATTGTGAAGCCTCAAAAGTCATGTGAGATATGTATGAAAGGCAAGCAACCCAGATTGCCATTTGCATCAGAAGTGCCCCCCCAGAGCAAAGCATGCTTTGGGAGTAGTACATTCTGATGTGTGTGGACCATTTCCAATATCTTCACTTGGAGGAAACAAATATTTTGTGTCTTTTGTGGATGAGTTCACAAGAATGACATGGGTAACACTCATCAAGTTCAAGCATGAATTGTTTACTGAGTTCCAGAAGTTCAAGGTGAAGGATGAGAAGCAGAGTGGTCTGAAGCTGAAGATTCTAAGAACAGATGGTGGAGGCGAGTATAACTCTACAGAGTTCCAGAAGTTCTGTGAGGAGAATGGAATAGAACATGAGGTTACTGCTCCATATACTCCTCAGCACAACGGTATTGCTGAAAGAAGAAACAAAACTTTGCTTGATATGACCAGAAGTATGCTGAAAGAGAAGAAGCTACCTCACATGTTATAGGGAGAAGTTGTTGCCACGTCAGCATATGTTCTGCATAGGTGTCCAACAAAGAAGTTGAAGGAAATTGTTCCTTTAGAAAAATGGACTGGAGACAAGCAAAGTGTTAGCCATCTAAAGGTGTTTGGTTCTGTATGCTACAAACACGTTCCAGAGGCTAGAAGACGAAAACTGGATGATAGAAGCAAAGTAATGTTACTGGTGGGGTACCACAGTTCAGGTGCCTATAAGCTTTATTATCCAGAAACCAACAAAGTTGAAATCAGCAGAGACGTCGTTGTGAAAGAGTCAGAAACATGGGATTGGAACAAGCTTCAATCAGATTCTGGTGTAGCGCCAACACCAAAGTTAGTTTCTTAAGATTCTTAAGAAAGTTCTGAAGACGAGTCAGATTCAGAAGATGAAGACTCTGAAGATGAGTCAGAATCTCAAGGAGATTCTGATAGTGGATCTAATTCTGATCCATATTCTGATGATGATCCAGAATCTGGTGGTGATTATATTTCTGGAAGGGAAAAATCTAAAAACATAGGGTCTGGAGGACAAGTTTCCAAAAGCAACTCTGAAGGTAGTAATTCTGAAGGAAGTAGTTCTGGACAAAGTCCAGAAGCTAGCATTGTTCCGAGTTCTGGAGAAGCTTCAGAACAAGTTCAGAGGCCACAGAGAATCAGACGAGTACCAAGTAGGTTTGCAGATTTTAGCATGTTGCATGATACTGAAGTAGATTCTGAAGAAGAAATCGTTCAGTATGCCATGTTAGTAGATTCTGAACCAGTGGGTATTGAAGAAGCTCTCAAGAAGAAAGTATGGTTGAATGCCATGAAGGAAGAACTTGAGGCTATTGAAAGAAACAGAACGTGGAAGCTGACGAAGCTTCCAGAAAAGAAGAAAGACATCAACGTCAGGTGGGTTTTCAAGGTGAAGCTTAAGCCAGATGGATCAATTGGAAAACACAAAGCGAGTCTAGTGACTAGAGGTTTTCTTCAGAAACCTGGACTAGATTACTTTGAGGTGTTTGCGCCTGTAGCTAGACACGAAATAATCAAACTGGTGATTGCTTTAGCTGCAAACAGAAATTGGCCTTTGATACATCTGGATGTGAAGTTTGCGTTTCTGAATGGTCCGTTACAAGAAGAGGTATATGTGTCGCAACCTCCGGGATTTGTTAAAAAGAATCAGGAAGGGATGGTATACAAATTACATAAAGCCTTGTATAGACTGAAACAAGTGCCTAGAGCTTGAAATCTGAAAATTGATTCGTTTTTCAAGAGGCAGAAGTTTCAGAAATGTGAGATGAAGTATGGCGTGTATGTGCAGAATTCTGGTAGCAATATGATTCTGGTGTGTCTATATGTTGATGACATATTGCTAACAGGAAGTTGTCCATAAGATATAGTCAAGTTCAAAGAAGTTCTGATGAATGAATTTGAGATGACAGATATGGGAAATATGGTATATTTTCTAGGAATGGAGATTCTGTACTCAAAGAAGGGTATCATTCTGCATCAGCTGAAGTATGAACTTGAACTTCTGAAGAGATTTGAGCTAGAAAATTGCAAGGTTGCTATCACACATGCTGATACGAATCAGAAGTTGGACTCTGATTCTGATGGAGAGGATGTGGATGCTACAACCTTTAAACAAATGGTTGGTTCTCTGAGTTATTTTTGTAATACTAGACCTGATATTTGCTATGCAGTTGGAATGGTTAGCAGATACATGAGCAAATCAAAGTGGTCTCATTACCAAGCTGCTGTCAGGATTCTGAGGTATGTAAAAGGAACTCTGAAATATGGAGTGTTGTTTCCGCCTGGAAGAAAGACCGAATTAGAACTTCTGAGTTATTCTGATTCTGATTGGTGTGGAGATAGAGTTGACAGAAGAAGTACTTCTGGGTACTTGTTCAAGTTTCTGGGAGGTCCAATTTCTTGGAGTTCCAAGAAACAGCCTGTTGTGGCTTTGCCAACATGTGAAGCCGAATACATTGCAGGTGCTGTAGCTGCATGTCAAGCTGTTTGACTTCTGAATCTTCTGGAGGATTTGAAGATTGAAATAGAGAAATCTATGAAGTTGTTGATTGATAACAAGTCTGCAATCAATCTTGCCAAGAATCCTGTGCTACATGGAAGAAGCAAGCATATTGAGACGAAGTATCATTTTCTGAGAAGTCAAGTGCAGAAAGGAGTGTTAGAAGTTCTGCACTGTAGCACTCAGAAGCAGTTGACAGATGTTCTGACGAAGGCGATAAAAACAGACCAATTTCTTTGCTTGAGAGATGAAATTGGTGTTGTTAACTTCTGATAGTTACTAAATTATGGGATGGTATTAGAGGGTAATTTAGTATTTGTCATTTGTTGGATATTCTCTTTAGGCCCTATGTGGCATCCTTATCTTTACTACTTTTGTGTATAAATATGTGTACTAGGTTTACATTTAAAATAATCAATTCTCTTCAATCATTTGTGACAGCTTTATAGCATTTATTCTTTTTCTCTCTTCTTCCTCAATTTCACCACCTTACACCAACATCCCATATAGATGAATTATGTTAAACAATGAAAGTTTGGGTCTTGAAACATATACTGAGATTGACTATGCATGATTAATTGTGGATTGGGGATCAACTAAAAGCTATTGCACTTTTTTGTGTAGGAATTTTGTAACTTATAAGAGTAAACACACAAACTGTGGTATCTAGATCTAATGTTGAAGTAGATTTCAGGGAAGTCACAAGAGATATTGCAAACTATTATGTTTGAAAATGATCTTAGAAAAATCAATTAGACTTTATTGTGATAATATATCTTCTATTAGCATAGTCTATAATCAAGTGCACCATGATAGAACTAAATATTTAAAGTTTTTAGATATTTCTTCAAAGAAAAATTAAATATTAATTTTATTTGCACTTCATATATTTTTTTCTAATGCAAATCTTGCATATCTTTTAACTAAAAGGTCTAATAATAATCACTTTAAAAGAGTTATTTTCAAATTAAAAAATTATAGATATTCACTCACCAATGAGAAAGATTCTTGTAAATAATTTATTTTATTGCTGTTATTTTTACTATTTTTAAATAATTTGTATTCACACTTTTAACTGTCGGTTTTTTATTATATTATTACAAGGGACTTATAATTAAAATACTATATATAAAAAGATTAGTCATAGTATAATATTATTCACAGTGAAATATATTATTCATACTGAAATCATGGAAATTAATAGGGACATGAACCTAAATACAAATTTGAAAGAAACTCCGATAATAATAATAATTTATTAAAAACAAATAAGAAAAATGCAGGACATTTAATGAAATTTCATATTTACATTACCATTTTATTCATTATGATCAATGAACATATGAAACACAAGCAAACATACATTTTTATTGACAAAGAGTTTTAAAATTTTGTGCTGAGATTCCCACTGCTAGTCCATGACTCTTGAACTTGCATTGAATACTGTAAATTCCATAGAACATCCTCTATTGAAGGACGCTTACTAGAAACCTTAGAGAGACAATTGATGGTAATCTGAACTGCAGTATTCATTGATTCATAGGCATAACTCCCCCTCAGTGAAGGATCAATTGTACTTCTTAGTATTGATGATGGTGGTTCTGATGAACTTCTTTCAAGCTGAACATGATAAAAACATAATTCAAAATAAGAAAACATTTACTTATGTAAGATTTAGGTCTAGGGCCGCCGTCTTTGAGAGCGTGCAAGCCGGACTACTGCACATGACCTAAAATTTGATACGTTTAAATTGTAGCTAGAAAGGATCTTTTAAAATATTTGTCACGGTTAAAACATGACAAAATATGATTCTTATGTGATTTCTCACACTTCAACTTTAGTCAACCTAGTCTACGGCTCTAACGATTTTATTAAAAATATGAGTAAGAACTAAAGTAGTTAAGGATACCTCATCCTTGAGCTGCTCTACTTCACTAGAGGATGCAATTTGTCTACCAGTAATGACTTCAAGTAGAATAACACCTAGCTGATAAATATCTTCTTTTTCTGCATCACTTTGTTCATTAACTGTGCTCTGAAAATTGATCAAGATATATGTTGCTTGTTAGAAATTTAGATGAAATCAAGCAAATATTACTTAGAGAATGATCAAATCGTGTATGGTCTATGAAGTACCGACACGGACACAAGACACGACATTTATAATGACACATCAGCACCAGTAACAATTTTAAAAAATAATAAATTAAATGCTATCACATGTGTCGGTGTCTGACATTGACACTAGACGGGTAAAGATCCTCTACTTTTTTTGATGGGAAATGTAGAGTAACTTTAAGCAAAAATTGAATATGACAAAGGAGAAAATAGTGTTTATTTGGAGGGATAAAGATGTAAGAGAAAATAAATTATGAGAGAGATAAAGAGAAAGTTAGAGAAAGTTAAGAAATTGAAAGTTAGAAAATCCAAACCCGACATCAGACACGCTATTGTTCAGATGTGTCGGTGGTGCTAGTCAAATTGTATTCTGTCCTAACCTTGGATGGCAATGGAATTCTGTATCCACTGACTTTTGCATTGAGACTATCATCCAACAAAATATTCTCAATCTTTAAATTGTTGCCAAATACTCCAGGAGCAACACCTGTATGTAAGAACTGAACTCCTCTTGCAACTCCTATGCTTATTGCCATTCTTTGTGGCCATTTCAGCATATCCTTCTTTTTTCCATCTATTAAATATTTAATGTCACATTAGTTTTTTTGACATTCAATTCATTGATTTTTATGAATAAATTATATTCTACTTTTGATACACCGTTGCATAAAAAAAAGTTACATAGCCAACAAATCACAATCAAGTATACATTTTCTGCAATCTGATAACTATGATTAACAATATCACATATTTGAGGGCGTGCAAGACGGGTTATTGCACATGAGTCTAAAATTTGTAATGGTTAAATGTGTTGGAATAATATAGCAAGTGTGAGTAAGTGGAAAAATAGTTCGACATTAGATAGAAATGTGGAGACTTAAGTGTATATATAAGTGAGAGAATCCACACATTCAATATACTATATATCAATGCTCCTAATAACTCCCCCAATAAAATATAAGTCATAGAATATTGTCACAGTCCTATTTGTTTTGACAATGTGGCTAATCTATCCAAACCTTAGGAAACATAAGACGGCTATGAATATATATGAATTTAATTATGTGATTGTGTACCTGTAAGTTGATCTCTCAAAGACACATTTGAGATATATTCAAGTACAATGAAGACAGTGCTTGTTACTTGAGGAGGGTCCTGATGAGTAATGATACAATGTCCTAGAACACTCACCATATGTCTATGCCTCAAATTTTGCAATACATCTAATTGCTGCATAATGCTATGTGGTAAACCCTTCTGCTTTATCTTTATACAATTAATCAGGACCACTGATCCATTTCTCAACCAACCTTTATATATCTGTGTAAATAATTGATATCATTAAAACTTTGAAGGTTATGAAATCTTAAAAGTTATTAAAAGCTCTTTTACCTGTCCTTGTGATCCTTCTCCTATTAGATTTGATTCGCCAAAGTTGTTTGTTGCATCTTCAATTTCTTCTTCTGTGAAAATATTGTATGGTGGTTGTCCATGTGTGCCTAGCCTCATTGTTTGAGGAACATGTCCTGTTTTTATAGGTCAGATCAAGTTAATGCAAGTCTTAAATGAATTAACTTGTTTTGTTGAATGATAGAAGATGACCCAATAGTTTGATATCATTCTAAAAAGTATTATTGGACCTAACTCAATCTTATAAAATCGGTTTGTAAGGTGAGAACTGTCCCACTGATAAACATATTATCCGACCATATTTATGATGTATATGACTTTTCAAAACATAAATTACTTTACAAAAATAGTAAATAAAAGAAGAACATAATGATGCTAAACTTACTTGCATTCATTATTGATTTTTCTGAAAACTTAAGAGCAACAGATCTATCCACATTCTGATTCAATCTTTCTGGTTTGGACTTCCACAAGACAAAAACAATGATCAAAGCTAAAACACAAGCAACCCCAACAACACCTCCAACAATAACAAGCACAAGACGTAAGTTCATACTTGATCCCTTCTCCACCTTTCTCTCAGGAGGCCTAACAGCCAAAGCCGCATCTTTTTTACAATAAGATAATGAATGTTGTTCATCATTCAAACTTTTTTTCGACAAACAATTCCACGAATACAACACTTTCGCCTTCGATTTCACCATGCATGACGGTAATTTTCCTACTAGAAAATTATGAGAAATATCAACATAATCCAACGACGAAGATGAAGTACAAAGTGAATTCGTGGAGAGGTTTCCGCTAAACTTGTTTGAAGATAAATTCAGGTAATGAAGGGAAGGTAGAGAGAATATAGAAATGGGAATTCTTCCAATCAAATTATTCGAAGAAAGATCCAAAATTTGAAGTTTCTCTAAATTTGAAAGATAAGGAGGAGTTTGAGATGTTATGAAGTTTTTTCTCAAGATGATTTTCACAATATTGTTTCCGATTGAAGGAAATTCCGGACCGAATTTATTTCCATCAAGATTAACTTCTTCAAGAGAAGATAAACTTGTGAGATCTGGAACATTTCCATTCAAAAGGTTATCAGCTAAAACAACACTTTTCAATTTTTTCATGGAAGAGATTGAATCAGGAATTTCACCGGAAATGAAATTCGAACTAATGTTGAGAATTTCAAGAGATGAAAACCTGTTGATTTTTTCTGGTATTGGACCCCATAAACCTAATGAAACTAATGACAGAATCTTCAAATTTGAAAGTTTTGTTAAAACAGTGAAAAATGAATCGGTTGAGAAAGTTCCTGAAAGTGCTTGAAAAGGTTCAGAGCTGTGTGAAGATGGAGAAGTTCGGTTTCCGATGACGGTTAATTCGGTTACGCGGCCGTTGGAGCAGACTATTTTGAGTGATGGTGAAGGAGGGAGGAAGCAGAAGTTTGTCCAGTTGTTCCATCCTTGAAGAACTTGTGGAAATTCTAGAAGCTTCTGAAGTTGGAAAAGAGTTCTGGTTTCAGTTTGTGATAATTGTGCAAGTGAAGATGGAATAAGCAGCACAAGAATAATCGCAGAAAGTAAATTCATATTCTGAGGCTAAAAATTGGAAAATTTGAAGTTGCTAAGAAATGAAATAGTTTTAATGAGTGGTTTTATGAAACAGAATGTTTGATCAATAATTATGATGAGTATTTTTTTTATTGTGTTTTCTTTTTGAAGTTGTAAAGTGTGTGAGATAATTACTTATGAAAAGTAGATGATACAATGATTGAAGCAAAAAGGTTTTTGTTTTGGTGAAAAATGATTAGTATAAAGAATATGAAAGTGGTGTTTGAGTAGGTAGGTAGGAAGTGGAGGGGGGAATGAAGTTTTGCAAAAAGTGGATCTGAGATCTGGAAAGTATGGAGTTTAAATTTTGAGTGAAGGAGCCTAGAATTAGAAAGTGCTAGTGAAGGAGCCTTGTTTGTTACACACATCACATGCAAGAGTGCACATGTATATTAAACTAGGTTGCATGCTCTGCCACTGGCTAACTCTTGGTGTTCATTGTCAAACTAGTTCAATAGAAAATTGTTAATTGAATCAAATTAAATAAAAACCACAAAAATTACATTTATTTTAGATATATTTAGATATTTTTTAATAAAATTATATGATTTAATTTAGTTTGTAGTTTATATTTTACAAGTCGATTCTCGTTATGTTACATAATCTTACAAATTATTATATATGTTTTAATTATATAGAGAAATCAACTAATACTATATCATATATGTATATTTTATTTTAATTTACATATCAATAAAAAATAAAATATTATCTATTTATAAATACTATTAATTCATTTGAATTGAAATTATTATATATTATTTTTGTTTTCATTTTTAATTTATTAACATTAATAAAGATAGAATTAAAAAACAGTTAATGTATTTTACTTTTGCATCTCTTTATATATTAAATATAATAGTAATTTAAATTTATTTAAGAATGTAATTTCATGTATATTGTCTATTAAATATAAGATAAATTTGTAAAATGCAATTTATATTTTTGAATCAAGTTATAAATTTATTTAAATAATAAATTTATTTTATGATAATGTGTGAATAATTAAACACAAAATTATGTTGTTCTATATATACATATGTAAGTCTCAATATAAATTATGTAAAAAATCCTATTAGTTTGACTGAGTTTTATTTTTAAAACCCACCTAATCAAACCAAACACATGTTTTTTTCACTTATAGTTCAAATAAATTTTAACGTAAAAACGGAGTATATTGTATAGTTTTTCCTTCAATAATAGACACATTATCAAGTAGAATAACTAACTATTTTATTACTCCATTCATCTCATAAAAATTGTCTCATTTACCGTTTTTTCTCATCTCAAAATAAACATCTCTTTATAATATTAATATAACATTTATTATTATTTTTATTATTGTTAGTTTTCAATTTATTCAATTACTCTACTTAGTATAATTAAAAAAATATTATAATAAATAATATAAATTATATTTCTAATCGACTCAGCTAAAAAACCAAGCATAATTCGAATAAAACACTTATGAGACTAATAAATATTCTACAACTTAATTCAACTACTTCAATTAAAAAAGAATAATATTAACATGTACTACCTTGTTAATAAATTTAGAAATAGAAAGTTTATATTTAAAAAAGAAAAGTTAATTATTAATCTTTAATAAATGCAATACACAATTAAAAAAAGCATTACTATGTATTACCCATTAAATAACTCTATTTTATGTTAGGTGTCTCATTTTCAAAATCATTTAATGTTAAGACAAAATATCAATTATATTTTATGTCATGTACTACTGGATAATGAAAAAATTAGTACTTTCTCTCTTTCACACTAAGAATTATCTTTTATATTTTTATTTGTTTCAAATTATTTATTCCTTTAAAATATTAATGTTATATTTATTATTTTCTTAATTCCTTTTTAATTGTTATTTTTGTGAAAATTCTTTAAAAAAAATTCATTATTATTTTCAAATTTTAAAATAGTGTTAGTGATAGTTTTGTCAAAATTACACCTAATTATTTATTATAGAGAGAGAAAAAATAAGTTAAAATAATTAATAAAAAATTAAGGATATTATAAGTAAAAGAAAAATTATTGCTTAAAAATAACAATAATTATTAATTTTATTGGTATGTGTAAAAAATAAAAAAGTGACAAATAAAAATGAACAAAGAGAGTATTTCTTTCTATTAATTTCCCCTTATTTATTGTATTTTAATTCACATAACTATTCAACTACCTATTACTCTTTCTGTTTCATAATAAGTGTCACATTTAAGTATGACTCGATTCTTAAAAAAATAATTAGATATTTTAATTTTAATGATCAAATTAATATTATTTATTAAAACACTCTTATTTATTATAGTTAGTAAAATAGTTAAAAAACGTAAAAGCTAATAAATATGAATACTAAAAAATAATAAATACTATATTGATATTTTAAAAAAGACATTTATTTTAAAATATAGAAAAAAATACAAATAAAATATTTATTATAAAATAAAATAAAATAAATAAAATTAATTTAATAAATAAAATTCATTTTATCATTGAAATTAACATAATTAATTATTATCTTTAAAAAATATAAAAATATCATATAGAAACCGGTTATGAGATTATGAGAGGGAGGGAGTAGTTTAAATAGTCACTTGTTTTGTTACGTACTAGTACTTGTTACGTTTTCCAATGACAGCATAGTCAAAACAGCTCTGAAATCAAAGTAGCAAATGGAGGAACTTCGGTTTTGACCCATTTATGATCAACATGGGAGAATGTGAACACTGCATGCATAGTTTAAAGAGAGTTGTTAATGTTTCATATAAAAAAGAGTTATTAATGTAACCCACGTGCCATGCCACGTGACTTTAGTGAATACTAGTAGTTGACTTTTTTATCTAGAGATTGGTCTTGATAATGTTTCCATCTCAATTTTCTTCTATTTATTGTGTGGAGTAGAGAGACCATGACATTATTGGTAGATATTTATGGGTGGATTAGGAGTTAATTTTCACAATTGAGCATGATCTTAAATGTCAACCTATTTATTATGTTGATCTTTTTTGTCTTTTAAATATATTCTTATAGATATTTGAATGATAAGGTTGTTAAGTGAAAATTTGATTTTTGTAATTGATATTTATGGAGTGTATCAATTACAACTTAACAAAATTTATTTTTAAATTGAAAAATAGAAAGTTTTATCATGAATGTAGTTGATTATTACTGTATCGATTTTAATTTTGTAACAACTGTAATTAGTTATAGGTCAGAGAATCATGTTTTTCTGTTATTTGACTTATGTAATTTCTGTCTCAATCTACTTGTAATTGATGTATAAGTATCTTAAATGTATCCTCATCTATGTTAATAAAAATATACACCTCATCTATGTTAATAAAAATATACATTCTCACCCTTAACTCTCTCTCTCTCTCTCTCTCTCTCTCTCTCTCTCTCTCTCTCTCTCTCTCTCTCTCTCTCTCTCTCCACATTCAAACCCTCGGTTTTCACCAACCAAGTGATTCCAAGTTCTAACATTTGACATCAAGAGTCTGGCCCGGTCCACCAAACACCTAGTGTGCAACATGAATTTTGTATCAAATGAAAGAATTTCAATAAACCTACTAATCCTTGATGCGAAGAATTACGACAAATGGTACAAATAAATAAAGATGTTGTTTGACTACCGAGATGTTCTTGAAGTGGTCAAGAACGGTGTGAGTCCTCTTATCAAAGTGCAACGGATGCACAACAAGCACCATATAAGGAAAAGAAGAAAAAAAGATTACAAAGCGCTGTTTTTGATCCGTCAATGTGTGGATGGTGTCAATTTTGAGAAAGTTTGTGATTGTGAGTCGTCAAACACTACTACAAAATAAACTTTTTCTAACACAATATTACAACAACATTCCTGTTAATTGTGGTATTAACTCATTTTTGGACATTTTTTTGTGTATTTACTAAAAGACACTTCACTACGGTCATAGTTAACAACCATAGTGAAATGTACGAGAGTGAAAGGGTTTGAATCCCAACACCAACAATTTTCCATTTATCGTGACTAAATGAGTCTGGCCTTGTATATCACCAGAGTTCTTTTAATCAACTGTGGTGTAAAGTGCAATCATTTCATCACGATTCATATTATCAACTATGGTGAAAGGTGTTACATATTTATATATTAGAAAATTTATCTCTTGATTCAGTACATAACAACCGTCTCTCTCTCTCTCTCTCTCTCAAAAGAAAACCCTAATATTTATTTAACTCGCCTCTCTCAAACAAAACCCTAACATCTCTATCACTCATATCACTCATATGGGAATTCCAAAATCATGCAACGAACTCGTCTTCTTCAAATCTTAGGAAATGACTACCTTACAGGTTAGTCTTCACAATAGTTTATGTTTCAAAATCTTTTTATGTATTATTGTTTATGTTTCAATAGCTTGTTTCATAATGTTTGAACTTTCTGCATCTTTTGACTTATAGGTAGGGATAAGTGAATGGAAAAAATTAACGAGGATGAAGCTAAAGTGGGCGATGTAAACTTATGTAAAAGACCTAGAATGACATCCATTCAAAATTAACATAAGTATGCAACTCTCACTTCAGCTTTATCCTCCTTTTATTTTGGAGCCATTATGGAACAAGTACGTTTCTGAAACATTTTATGAGTTGATATGTTGTTGTTGTTATTAATAATAGTTGTATGTTGTTTAAGGTTTGTTGTTGATGAATGTTGTTGTTAATGTTTGTTTAAAAGACGAGTTTATTATATCTTATGTAGTTTGAGTGTTTTTACAACAACTTACTGAATAAATAATATTTCAGATTGCATTAAAAATTATAATATGATAGATAAAGTTATATTAGAAAACAAGTTGCACGTTCAATTCTAGACAAGAATTCTCCAGCCCATTATCTGCATTTATCTTTTTAATCGTTAGAACTTGATTTAATGCTTCTAGTTCTTCAACCTCCCCTTCCTCCACCTCTAATTTTGTTTATAAAGTAAATAA